CAGGAAGGACCATTTCTTAAACGGAAATTCTCTTTGTCCATTGCAAGAGGGCAGGCATTTGATCAGTTTGGCAGCTATACGTTCTGAGGTTGCTGGTTATAAATCTTTTTTTCTTTTTAAACAGATCCAAATATATATGTTTGTATACTTCACATTCACACCTTCTAAAAGCCCAAACAGTGTGACAGCATTACCCAAAACTAGCACGTTAAAAAATTAGATTTTAGCTTGTGGAAATACAATTATTTCATGCTTAACGGGGTTAGTGAAGGAGGGACCTGAATTTATCCAATTTGTAGTATGTAAAGGTGTCAGTGTTGACTTTGACAGTTAACGGTTTACAATAAGACATCTGAAAGCCAAAGGGATGATTTAAGTTTCTATTTCTGCAGTCACCACTTGCCATTTCAGTTCCAGTTTAAGCACTCTGCATACATTTTCTACCTCGTCCACATCAGATAACAAACAATACAGTGTTTTGAACTACAATGGCATGATAAATTACACCCACACAGATAGATATAATGCCCTGAAGTTTGTCTAGATTTTCTAGAGTAATCTTTCCACTATTTTTTAAACTTACCATTCCATCAAGGACTTTGCCAAATACCACATGTTTTCCATCTAACCAGGAAGGCTTTGTCACACTGATGAAGAACTGGGATCCATTAGTATCTGGGCCAGAATTAGCCATACTAACCCATCCAATTCCATAGTGTTTGAGTTTAAAGTTCTCATCTGGAAATTTTTTGCCATAGATGCTCCTTCCTATCACACAAAGTAAGAAAGCAAACTTAACATAAATACTTTTTTTTGGTTCAAAAATGGAAAAAATTAAGTGTAAATTCAGGACTTGAGAAGATTCAGAGGCTGAATGAATGCAGCACCATCACTGCTACATCATCGCTGATCCAAAACTAGAAATACTTTGTATGTAGAGGAAAGCAAAAGGAAAGCTAAAACACCAGCTCTAATGAGAGAATATTTAAAGCTGCTCGTCCTTTAGCCTCTGAATTTAACAAGTAAGCTCAGTATCTTCACAAGTCATGCTTATATACACCACTAAACAATACTATACTTTGTCCTGCTCAGCAAATTTAAATCAGGTAACTATGGCCATTAAAATAAGGTACTTTGTGCTTTGTGACAATTTTAATATTTAATTTTATAACCTTTTTCCCTAGTACAAGAAATTGCTTTAGACATGTTAAGAAATACAGAGACCAAATGAAAGTTAGCTTAAAAGACTCAGTGTGGAATTGTATAAATATTACATAAGGATTTTGATGTTCCTAAAATAGTTTAGAAGAAAAAACATTAGAGTCATGTTTAAACCACCATAATTTTGAAAAGAGAAGGCTGTCTCATTCTTTATTTGTACAGTGCCTAACACAGTGAGACACTGTTCCCAACACACTGCCAGATACTATCCCAATAAACAGTATTAGCAGGCAAACAAACACTGCCTACGTTTAATGCTAAACTGTCTCTTTAGTGTTTTAGCCCTCCCCATTGTTCAAATTGCAAGGAAAAGGAACGCGTGTGTTTTCTGTTCTGTCCCGGTGGGGAAGCTGCTAACATTGTATACAGAAAGTGCAAATCATAGCGCTTGAACGCGGTCAAAAAGGAAGAGAAGAAATGAGAAGCCAGAACGCATGCAATGCAAGAGATGCGGCACTGGGATTGCCCTCCAAAGGGCCTACTGGCTGAACTGGTTTTCTGGAAGTTCAAGAGAGAGAAGCGACATAAATGGCCAGAACGCAGGTAAAGAGGAGCGACCCAAAGGTAAGTAAGTTTATGGTTTTCAATTTATTAAGAGAAAAAAGGGGAAGGGCACTACCTTCATTTTCTAATTTTGAAATTCCTTCTGTTAGGATGTTTCGGAGAGTTCCACCCAGCTGGGTGAGCCAAAGAGAGAGAGAGGAGAGCCTGTACCCACCCCCCTTTGCCTTCCCTCCACGCACGTCGCCGTTTCCTTGCAGATTAGTTTTCTGCTGGGTGACTCGAATTAGTTCATGTACAGATGCAACGGGTACCACAGGGAAGGAGCAGAAGCGCACAGCCAGAGCAGAGATGGACAAAAAAGATCTGCAAAAACTGAGGACAGGGGAAGCCCTAAGCATACATATAATCTGATAATGCAAATATTTGCAGCTAACATGCCAAGACGCTTAGAACCGTTCTCGACGCGATGAATGTCTTCTTCATTTATTTTATGTGAAAGAAAGAGAGGAAATGCCGTTTCGCCGCTTTTCCGTAAGCATTCAAAGGCGTAACAGAAAGGGAAGCTGGAAGATATGGAGCATGTTACCTCCTGATCCATCTCCAACTGTAAAGTCCCCTCCTTGAATCATGAAGTCTTTGATGACACGATGAAATTTACTTCCTTTGTATCCATATCCTCTCTAAGAAAAGGAAATAATTCTTTAAGTGAATATAACATCTAGTTCTACACAGTCACATGGGGACAGGCACATGCTGTGAACGGTCAGGTTGCAAAGAATATTCCGCAACCTGAGACAAACACTGACAGGAAACTAAACTGAAACGCAGGGGAACGCAGCTGGGCTGCGCTGCCACAGGTGTTATTCAGGTGAAAAAAGCAGGTATCTTCCTTTGACTGGTACACTGATACACAGTACTTCTGCCTGCTAGATCTGCGAGCTAGGGGTAGACTGAGGTGGTGACGTCCAACTTCCCATATTCACAATTTGGGACTACAGCTGCAAGGCTTTTAGGGATACAGGCAGGACAGCACGGCCTCTGGGATGGCGCTCTCCCTCACTGATTCCACTGAATTAAGACAGATACTTCATACTTGAAACAGCATTTAACAAATATTTACTTCCCAGCCCAACCTTGAGTACACAGTGAAAGAAAACCACAGACATACTTCTCCAGTTGCCAGCACAATGAAGTTCTCCACTGTCTTTGGGACAACTTTTCCAAACAATCCAATTACAATTCTGCCAACATCTCTGTCTCCAATCTTCACGTCAAAGAACACCTGGACGTTTTTGTGAAGAAAACAAAAGTGATACAAATATGAGCGCAACAAAAAGGCCAAGCTTTTGAAAGCGTAAAACGGTAAGAAACAGCCTTTGGCTGGTCTACGTTAATCGAATCCTTCGATTGCCAAGAGTGCTGTTTAAGAAAAATCTTCTCAGAGCTACCGACTTCAGATCATGGAGAATACCCTGTGAGACTTGGTGATTATACATTTTGATTCTTATCCTCTTCAAGGGCTCAGTGGAACTGCTATATCACAAGTTTGTAGGTAAGGTTCAAGAAGCTTTTTTCCAGATATGCATGTGTTTAGCAGGCACTGTATGGAAATTGTATGAAAAAGATGAAATACGAAAAGTAAGGAAGAGCAATGCTGCTATTCCAGTGTCATGACTGATTTCAAAGAACTATAGTACAGACGCTTCCCCAAAAAGCTAGTTTGCTATCCACTCTTAATCTTCACTGTTCTAGGCATTAGGGTGCATGTGATGATTAACTATACACGAAAGCCTAGATTTCATTAAATTGTCAAACAATGGGAATAAAACCTTACTGCTAAAGCGAGGAGTTGCTTTCCTAAATATGAATTCAGAACTGCCCCAAGAAATAACCAGGCTGCGTTAGACAGCTCATTGCCCAAAAGCTTCAACATAGGCGTCACTAAAAAGAATACTTGAAAGACAAATGAGTTGAAAAGCGTCTGAATATAGTTCAGAACAGATCAACGCATATTTGACCATGCAAAAATGTTCTAATGATTACTGAAGTTAGGAGCAGCTTCAGGAAATGAGGCATTCTGAAGTTCAGAAAAAGTTACATAAAGACTATTAAAACTTCTAGGACTCAGCAATGCCTAGTCCCATGATGTGCTATTTCTCGTTCCTTGTGGCACTCAACCAAATATCACCTGTCTACAACTCTACGAAATTAGCCCAATAATGGTAATAAAGGACCACAGTCTCTCGCTACTGTGAATGTCTCGTTCACACTCTCTTGTTGAACGTTTCTGCCAACTCTTGATCTTCCATGTGGTTTTGACTGCTGAACTTCTGGATAACTTTACAATGATATATAAAGAAAACAGAATTCCTTTTGATACACCTCATCCATTTCCTTGGCACTTGGCACCAGACAACCTACTTCAATGTGTGGCTCCTGAAGTATAAAGACCAAGTTCTCACTAGTTTCTTAATGTGTTTATAGACGTACCTCCCTGAATTTTGCAGCCAGGCCTATCTAGGCAAGGGCTACTATATGCCTAGGCTTTCTAAACGCATCTTCTTCTGGTCTAGGCAGGACCACCTGTGATACGTGAACCTCTGGCAATGCAACTGGGGCTACTCTGCAATACTCCCAGGTAGTAACATCAAACACTTTTACGGAGCAGAGAGAGATCCAGTCCGTCACACAGGGGAAACCTAACCCAAGCAGAACGCCCCACGCGGGGCAGAGCTATGCACCTAAGCAGAGCGCGCAGCATTTCTAAGCGGCCGTGCTTGGGCCTATTCTGCATTTGGAAACAAACAGTAAGTTCTTGGCCCCGTTAGCACTCCACATACCTGTGCTACATGATCGGCGCTTTTGGAAAGCGCTGCGCTTCCTCATTACGCACTACATAACATGTCTGTGCATATTTCTGGCCAGGAAATCCTACAGAGAAATACGGTAGGCCTAGGTGTCATTTTTGCCAAGAAAAGCCATCTTATTTTAAGCAATTCTTTTAAAGTTCTCTGAAAAGGCAATCAGCATGTAGCTACTAACGAGCTGGTCAACATAGCAGTCTTGAATTTCCAAAAATTTCTGGTCAGATTCTTCACCAAAAGTTATTAAAGAAAATTAATTATTATATAAACATTTAATCTTATTTACAATGTGCAATAATTATTTCATGATTGAAATGAAATAGGGTCCACCAGTAATAGAGGTTGGTTCTGGTGAACACATTCGTACATAAATTGTACGAGCAGGTTTACAACAAAATGAAAAAATTGCCCAATAATACTCAATTATTGGGACAGAAAAAAAGTTGATTGTGAAAGAAAGATCTCATGATTCTTAGCAACCAAATAAACGAAGTCCAGATGTACAAAGTACTGTATATGGAAAAAAGACTTTGCATCTACAGTGAGGGGTCCTAAATAAGCTACCACACAGAAACGACATGTGGAGTCACCTGGTGCAGTTTAATGAAAAGTTTGACTCGCTGCTCATGAAGGTCAGAACAAGAAACTGGATGTTAGAAATTATTAGAAAGGGAGGGCAACAAAAGACAGACATAATTATGCAACAGTATACGTCTCCACTGTGCAATCACACCCTGAGCATTGCATGCAAATCTGGCTTCTCCATCTCAGAATGAAAAAACAGACCCAAAAAAGGTGCAGAAAAGTGCAACGAGGATGTTCAGAGACATGGAACGCCTTCCATACGAGGAAAGATTAAATAAAACCATGCACCTTGGAGGAGAGAAAACCGAAATGATGTGACCAGAGCTGCAAAGCTACGAGTGGCTTGGTGAAGGAAAAGCGGGAGCAGTAATTCACCGTTTCCCACAACGTAAGAAGCAGAGGTGGGCATAACATGAAATCACGAGGCAGAAGGTCTGCACAACTAAACGGTGGATCACACTGCTAGGAGACGACTGGAGGCCCAAGCACATAAGACGTAAAACAACAAGTTAAATTCCTGGACTGAAGGTCCATCGGTGGCAATGAAATTCAGAGGTGCACACACAGGCTTCAGTCCAAGAAGCTGTGGCATCTGCCCCTGCCCTTTTCCGTTTTTCGCCAGCACCACCGCAGTCTTTCTCAAAGCGAGCGGGAAAGATACGTGCAGGTGGAAACATCTAAGCCCTACTTTACCCACGGCTGGAACAGGCTACTTTGGGATGGCTCCTTGCCCAAAAACTGCAGCGTGGATGTTGCCAAACATCCTGCCAGGGCAGGAACGCCGCCACCTTACGATAACCAGGCGCCCTGGTCCAGCCGGCG